ATAAATATACATAAAATATTGCTTTGAAAAAGGAACTATAGATTGTTCATTACATACATTTTTTTTAACGTTAATTATGCTAAAAATTAAAAAAAGAAAACGTTAAAAATAAAAAAATTAAAAAAAACGTTAATTATGCTAAAAATTCAAGAGATCAAATCATTCGATATTAATATTCTTGAAAAAAAGAAAAAGAAAAAAAAGAAAAAAAGAAATGAAGAAGAAAGATTGAAAAGCGATTGCAAATCTGCAGCTGCGATAGCAGACAGGTGAGATTTCATTTGCACAGAGAGAATGGAGGCGACAGCAGGTGCAACCGCGATGAAATATTCCATAGGGTCGCGTCGTTCGAGGCGGCAAGGTCGCATCGCGCGAAACGCCGGAAGGTCAAGTGGCACTTTCCGCTGCCTGCCGCGGACGCTCTCCCTTCTGACCTTTACTGATTTATTCTTCGAGCCTGGAGGACGCTGAAAAACGGCCGTGTTGCAAGATTCAACAGTCTGTTCGTTTCTGGTTGGTTCGCCAACTCCTTATATAATTTACCCTGATATTGTGGCCTGGTAATCGACGTTCCTGTGACAAGCGCGGCAAACGAACATTGCGACGATGACGACCTTTGAGGAATCGTGAATTTCACAAGAATTTCCTTCGGATGATTTCTAGATTCTAGGATCTAATCAATCGGTCTTAATGAACATATCAAAACACTTTAAACATGAATGATAATAAATGATGTAAGTAGATTTATACAGTTATGTTCCTGTCCGGTATTTTATTTCAGAGCCAAATAAGATAATACATAGTTGAATTTGCAATGTTTGAAATATTTCGAGGGCATAAAAAAATTATTTAATCCTTGAGAAGCAGAAGATTAAGAAATTCTACTTTACATTCTTCTTCCTCTCTCTCTCTCTCTCTCTCTCTCTCTCCCTCTCTTTCCTTCTCTCTAGTCTAACCAACGACGATGGAATCCGCTTCCGTCTCGCGAAACGCGACGAGAATGTCGATGAACGTCGTCCAGACGAAGGTAGCCCGTTTACTTTCGTGTTATTGTTAGGAAACAACGGCGACCTAACCCAAACTTCCGTCCCGACGGTTCTGATCCTTCGTCGTTAACAACGTGGACGATTAAGCGAACGTCAGCCAGCGCAGACGAGAGGAACGTTCCGCGCGAGCGGAGCCTGTGAACTGATTAATGAAGCGGTCTTATCGTTGCGGTCGATTATTCCTGCCTGCGTTTTAAAGGGGCGGATAAAACGAGAGAAGTCGACCACCGTTGGTTTAACTTATACGCGATTCAATTTCCACCAATAATGTAGAGATCGCGGTTTCGCACTGGTACTGAAACACACGTACATTAAGAAACGTGCATATCGAGAACATTAGAAATCATATTCATACTCAATTTGTGATGCTTTTATTACACAATAAAATAATACACCGCTTGATGTATTTTTGTTACACTTTGTGATTTATTTTGCGAATATAGAGCGTCTTATGTTAGTTTCTTTTTTTCGACCAATCGTCGTCAATCTATTTTACTGGTAAGAATAGAAATAAGAACGAAATATCAAACATACGTTGAGCTTGGAAACAAATAAAACTTTAGACAATTGTTTTATATATTATTAATATTTACTAATTCCATTTTAGTAAATTCCATTCATAAAAATATAGAAAATTCACAGTTTAACAACCGTTTTGTTTGAAGCGAACAATGTCCCGTGACTTATAGACAGGAGTAAATATTATATTATATAAACACGTGAACATGGACAGAAATACACGAACGCTCTTATATAAAAAATTACACAAAATTCAGATCCGGACTCGTTTACATATATTTGAATTTACGTGAAATAAAGACCTCTGGAATAATGTCTTTAGCCCCTCCCCCTTTGCCCCCGGTTTGTTTGGTCCAAGTTAACTGATGTGTGCTGTGAATAATGATATGCAGAGTGTTTGATCTCAAGGGGTGATTACTCACTTCCGCTATCTCTTCACGAGAGCATACATACATACATACATATATACATATAATGTGTACTGCAAGTTACATGTCGCTAGTTCTCAAGATGAAATAAAATCACGGTAAATTGAGTACTTCAAAGCGAACCCGTACGTAACATTTGAGAGCATCGACTGCGAGGGAGTGCTTTTTCGAGACTTCATAAATAGAAGCGTTATACTTGCGCGATATAAATAAAAAATATGCATGTACGTGTACACACGTGTCGAATTGGATTCGAGTAACGCTGGCTCTTTAACGTGTGTCCGAACACTTGATAAATACACGAGAGAGAGAGAAAGAGCAAGCTTAGAAATAAAACTGAAAACAGTGCGCTATTAAGATATAAATGGGAAAAAATGATTCGTACGTGTATACTGCGCTGAAAGCAACGTTGAATTTTTATTTATAATATATATTTCAAATGATCATCTTCTTATTTTAGTTATTATTTTACTTATTTTAGAGTTAACTCGTGTTTTCACTTGTATTAAATATTTTAATTTTTGACACTCGGGATAATACAGGATATTGTGAAGTCTTTCCTCGCCGTATTCGACCGTGTTCACTTTCTTATAAGAAAGAAATTACTTTTATTGATATTTAGGTTTTTATCGCAATTTTAATGTTACAAAAATTTCAGTCATGACGGATCGTGACGGTGGAGAACTTTTTCGATGAATTATATGCAGACGCTTTATCTGATTGTCCGAGTGATTTTGAAATATATCGTAGTGATGTGGAAATTGATAGTTTGATCGGGAGACAGTTATGAATTTTTATGAGTTATTAGACCTCGAAAGTGACAAATTTGCAAAACCTGTTGTACCATTGCACGTAGGTGATTACTATACAGCTTGTCACACCAAAAAAAAAAAATTAAATATATTATATGTATAAAATATAATATATGTTAGGAAGACCGGAAAGAAATCCATTATTTTTTGATCTTAACAAGAAGCTTTATTATTTCTTATAAATTTTTAAATATTAATTTCCATCTTTTTCCACTTTTAAAAAAATGTACGGGTTTTGAATTTTGAAAAAAAATCGTAGAGTTGGCTTCGATTAAATTTTGAAACTTTTTCCCACGAAGTTCCAAAGACCTAAAGAGGTGGTAATCGGTAAGTGCTAAATCAAGAGACTAAAAGGGATGACTAAGAAACTTCCCAGTTTAACTCACGAATTTTTTCACGGGTATGGGATCTTGCGTTATCACGATGAAGGATTATTTGCTTTCGATTGATAAGAGCTGGTCGTTTTTTTTTTTTTTATGTATCTCCTTCAATCTTTCCAACTGTTGGCAATAAACATTGGCTGTGATAGTTTCAGCTGGTTTGAATGAATTACACCAGGCATGTCCCACCAAATACGCAGTAAAACCATTTTTAAGGTCAGTTCTGGCTTGGCAGATGGAATAAGAATTTGTTTAGAAAGAAACCATTGCCTTTATCGTAAACAATCCATTTCTCGTCCCCTGCTACAACACAATGTAAAACCGGTTCATTTCTGTACCTTGACAGCAAAGAATTGCAAATTGTTTTCCTCTGCTTCTTATTATCGGCTGACAATTCATGCGCTTTCCTGATATTTCGTCAATTAACCTTTCGATCAGTGACTTTAAAATGACGTCATCAAAATTCGATGGTCTTCCGGATCTTGGGGCAGGTTCCAGATTTAAATTAATTAATTTTAATTAATTTTAATTAATTTTCGAAGCCACTGTTGACATTTGTTTACCGTTAAGACACTGCCGTAAAAATCAATGATTGACTCCGTTGCTTTAGTATCAGAAAAAAAGCAGCATACAAAGCTTGATATGCACTTTGTCAACAACAGGCTTCGACATTTCGGAAAATCACAGTTATGTCCTAAAAAATAATGAACACTAAAAGAGAGCAAACCCCAAAAAGAAGTCGTTACACTACAAGCGTAGACTGCCTCAAAGTTCAAATATAAAAAATAATAGACTTCTTTCCTGTCCTCCTAATATAAGAGATGTACAAAGTTTTATTTAAATTCATTCTGTATATTAAAGTTTATTTAGATTGTTTCACTTTCATATTCAATAGCCGATGACACGAGATGGCTTTTGCGTAAAATTGTCGTACAAGAGTACACATATTTTATCAATAAAATATCTTGAAGATAGAAAAAGAAAAACATGTACCAATATTATCTACGAATTTCCCAACTGACAGTGTAATTTCCGTGTGTCTATATCCTGTGTAAAGAAACAAACCGACGTAAAGCCACGCTCAACCCAAAATCCCAAGCATCAGAATCATCCAATCTCCTCCCCGAAACTTCGTTCCTCCCCCACGTTCCACGCACATATCCTCGAGCGGCGTTTGTTCCGCGCAATTAACGCCGGAAGAATCTCGCAAACGGCGGATCGCGCGGGTTAAGCAGCGCAGTCCCTCGGTCCTCGTCCTGCTCGAAAGCATTGAAAGCTCGTCGAGGCGTGTCGTGGCATGGCGTTATTAGCATGGACGATTAACGAGACGCCACGCCGTGCCAGGGACGGAGGAGCTTTGTTCGTTTCAACGTTAATCGAGTATACGCGGGGCGGTTTCGCGATGGCCAGAGAGACGAAAATACGGGCGGCGGGAGCGCAACGTCGGCCGCCGGAAGTGGCTTGCTACGGCGCACGTCCGGCTGAAATATTCCGTCTAAACTAACATCCGTGCTGATGTGCCTTCGTTGCCTGCTGGCCCTCCACCGCCACCGCATCCAGTCGTCTGAAAATTAATACACGAAATCCGCTCCCTCCCGCCGTATTTTCCATGCGTACCGTGCAACTCGAGCCAAGCATCGACTACGGATTCAATTGATTTCGTCGCGAAGTGCCGCCTCTCGATTTCAATCTCGGTGACGTCGGATTTTTCGCGCTGGTCGTGCGATTCGTATCGCAAGTGTTGATGTACTGCTAACGTATTCATACACGATGCAGGTGCATTAATGTAGTTCGAGTTTATGAATGTATGACCGTGGTTGTTAACGCAACCTACACTCACGCGTCTAATTTCTGAAATAAATATGTATGTACGTATTCTAAATAGTAAGGAAAAGTAGAAAGCAACGTAACTTTGGATATTGAGGTTTGTCTAATTACATTTTTAATCATTTGTTTTGATATATTTCAACAGCAGCCGGTTCCTTCTCGTTATATTCGAAAGCATAATTAACCAATTGTTGTTTGTTGCAATCAACGTATTTACGTATTTAGATGACTTAATTAAGAATCATACAAACGAAACTTGAATATGTTGGTACTATATTGTGTACCTTGGTACATGTGTGTTGAATACAATTAAAATACTGTACATTACATTTTATGTAATGTTTATACATTAGTTTATACATTAGTTCATATTTACACAAAAGGGATTGAGATATTGTACGTGAACACGTGTATCTTTAACACGCATTTAAAATATGTTTCTTTTAAATATTGAAAGACGTTTGTATGAATAATTTTTATTCGATTTGATTTAAATCTTTGCACGAAATAATCAAATTTGTATATTACGAGATATCCTTTTTTCAATCCTCTATAACTAGAATTAATTATTAATCAATTATAGCTATTTTTTCCAATACGAAATCTCGAAACTAATTGATTGTTATATAACTGAATAAAAGATAAGAAACACGCGTAATTATGTAGTTTAATTGAAATGAATGATGCTATTTTAATCTGTGTGTGTAGTTGGTCTCTTACAGAAAAGAAATCTACTCGGAGACCGACGAAAAAGAAATTTCTCTGAAGTAATAATTGGAGAACGACCAAGTTCGAGAGAAGTTACGCTAAAGGAACATTCGACGATTCTTAATTATTCCACGCCCCATCCATTGATCACAAATGACTCAAATAACTCTACTCTAACTAACTTTACTCTAATTCTTTGCTTCAAACTTTACTTTAATTTATGGTAAACGTAACCAGTTTTCGAAAATATGGAGAACCTACTCGATTGTTATTGGAGAATAAATCTTTCGCCAGTATATAATTCAATAATAATTCGGGTTCGATCACTCGATAAAACGATTACATGTGACACAAATGATTCAAATAATCCTATCTGAATCTATAGGAAACTCCAAC